TAACTTAATGAGAATTCCGTTCCCAGCGCCCCTGTGAGTTTGAACTTTATGCACTAAATACTATGTGCAAAATAATTGACATGCAATTACTATGTAATTTTATTCTCATTGCCGCACAGTTGTAATTCAAGACGGACCTATGTTTGTCGAGTCATTCTAGGTAACTCTCTGTCGGCGTCGACGGCTCTCTTTATCGCAAAAAAGCTTAAATTTATGAAGGCATATCGATTTGATTTCATTGGGAATAACATTGCACCGCTCAATCGATGTGGCTATACATTTAAGAAGGGAGAAATATAAATGAAAATCTATATATATATATAACAGTACATCTACGTATGTCGAAATATATAAATGTATATCTATATATGCAAGCAACAGACAATGGTGGTAAATCAGACAGACGATCCCCAGTAGCATGTATTGAGGATTAATACATATATACACTGAGAGGATGCACATCAACAATCATGATGCTAACTGCGCAGTTGATTTATTTAATGGAGTCGACCTTTTGTTTTAAAATTAGCCTTCTTCAGGAATAAACATGAAAATGTATAATTATAACTGACAATAGCTACCTAAAATTAAAACCGAAACGAAATAAATCTCACAAAACGCCTCTAAAAGAGTAACAAAGAATACTCATTTTACTTTCTTGCGTAGCTGGTCGACTGGTTTATTTATTTTGATTATGTTTATAAATGATATGTCGTTTATTGTGTGGTGGTTAATGATATTGAAGTCTGGTTATTCACATATGTTGAAGCCGCTGTTGGAACAACATTCTGTACAACATGATAAAAGGGGAATGTAATTTAAAGCGGGGTGGTCGTCGCGCAGCGCGTGTTTGAGATTTTACACGCGTTGTATACGTCGCTATGAGTCCCGTCTCGAACAGGACGCGGCACGACGACTTCCGTCCTTTAAGTAGAATATATAATTTTTACTAAACTTTTAAATGTACATCTATATATTGAAGAATATGTGAACGTACTTCTATATTTGATAACATGTAAATGTACATCTATATATGGGATAACATGTAAATGTACATCTATATATGGGATAATATGTAAATATACATCTATATATGGGATAATATGTAAATGTACATCTACATATGGGATAATATGTAAATGTACATCAATATATGGGATAATATGTAAATGTACATCTACATATGGGATAATCTGTAAATGTACATCTACATATGGGATAATATGTAAATGTACATCTACATATGGGATAATCTGTAAATGTACATCTACATATGGGATAATATGTAAATGTACATCTACATATGGGATAATATGTAAATGTACATCTACATATGGGATAATATGTAAATGTACATCAATATACAGGATAATATGTAAATGTACATCTACATATGGGATAATATGTAAATGTACATCTACATATGGGATAATCAGTAAATGTACACATATATATGGAATAATATGTAAATGTACATCTATATATAGGATAATATGTAAATGTACATCTACATATGGGATAATATGTAAATTTACATCTACATATGGGATAATATGTAAATGTACATATATATATATGGAATAATATGTAAATGTACATCTATATATAGGATAATATGTAAATGTACATCTATATATGGGATAATATGTAAATGTACATCTACATACAGGATAATATGTAAATGTACATCTACATATGGGAAAATATGTAAATGTACATCTACATATGGGATAATCTGTAAATGTACATCTAGATATGGGATAATATGTAAATGTACATCTATATATGGAATAATATGTAAATGTACATCTATATATAGGATAATATGTAAATGTACATCTATATATGGGATAATATGTAAATGTACATCTACATATGGGATAATATGTAAATGTACATCTATATATTGGATAATATGTAAATGTACATCTACATAGGGATAATATGTAAATGTACATCTACATATGGGATAATCTGTAAATGTACGTCTATATATGGGATAATATGTAAATGTACATCAATATATGGGATAATATGTAAATGTACATCTACATATGGGATAATATGTAAATGTACATCTACATATGGGATAATATGTAAATGTACATCTATATATGGGATAATATATAAATGTACATCTACATATGGGATAATCTGTAAATGTACATCTAGATATGGGATAATATGTAAATGTACATCTATATATGGAATAATATCTAAATGTACATCTATATATAGGATAATATGTAAATGTACATCTATATATGGAATAATATGTAAATGTACATCTACGTATAGGATAATATGTAAATGTACATCTACATATGGGATAATATGTAAATGTACATCTACATATGGGATAATCTGTAAATGTACATCTAGATATGGGATAATATGTAAATGCACATCTATATATGGAATAATATGTAAATGTACATCTACATATAGGATAATATGTAAATGTACATCTATATATGGGATAATATGTAAATGTACATCTACATATGGGATAATATGTAAATGTACATCTATATATTGGATAATATGTAAATGTACATCTACATACGGGATAATATGTAAATGTACATCTACATACGGGATAATATGTAAATGTACATCTACATATGGGATAATATGTAAATGTATATCTACATATAGGTTAATCTGTAAATGTACGTCTATATATGGGATAATATGTAAATGTACATCAATATATGGGATAATATGTAAATGTACATCTACATATGGGATAATATGTAAATGTACATCTACATATGGGATAATATGTAAATGTACATCTATATATGGGATAATATGTAAATGTACATCTACATACGGGATAATATGTAAATGTACATCTACATATGGGATAATATGTAAATGTATATCTACATATAGGATAATCTGTAAATGTACGTCTATATATGGGATAATATGTAAATGTACATCTATATATGGAATAATATTTAAATGTACATCTGTATATAGGATAATATGTAAATGTACATCTATATATGGGATAATATGTAAATGTACATCTACATATGGGATAATATGTAAATGTACATCTACATATAGGATAATATGTAAATGTACATCTACATATGGGATAATATGTAAATGTACATCTACATATGGGATAATCTGTAAATGTACATCTAGATATGGGATAATATGTAAATGCACATCTATATATGGAATAATATGTAAATGTACATCTATATATAGGATAATATGTAAATGTACATCTATATATGGGATAATATGTAAATGTACATCTACATATGGGATAATATGTAAATGTACATCTATATATTGGATAATATGTAAATGTACATCTACATATGGGATAATATGTAAATGTACTTCTACATATGGGATAATATGTAAACGTACATCTATATATTGGATAATATGTAAATGTACATCTATATATTGGATAATATGTAAATGTACATCTACATACGGGATAATATGTAAATGTACATCAATATATGGGATAATATGTAAATGTACATCTACATATGGGATAGAATGTAAATTTACATCTACATATGGGATAATATATAAATGTACATCTACATATACGATAACATGCAAATGTACATCTTCATATGGAATAATATGTAAACATACATCTATATATGTGATAATATGAAAATGTACATCTATATATGGGATAATATGTAAATGTACATCTATATATGGGATAATATGTAAATATACATTTACATATGGGATAATATGTAAATGCACATATACATATGGGATAATATGTAAATGTACATCTATATATGGGATAATATGTAAATGTACATCTATACATGGGAAAGCTGGTAAATATTTAAAATAGTTCATGGAAATGCATCTACATTTATTATTAAATGGCATGCACATATAAATCTATATTTCCCATTTTTATTTGCGAGTTATATTTGGTACAGTAATCGCGCTATGTGTGTGCACGTTTGTTTATATTTAAAGCACATCATCTTAACCATTGGCTGTACAAAATAGACTTTACACCAGGGACATTTTGATATCATATAGTAATGATTGATATATGTGTAATACACGCTGATACGTGAATCATCTAGCAATGAGAAAGGTTTACAGATCAACTTTCTACACTGATTGAACCATGCACCACAATATCGGGATTTGTAGAAACACCGTGCCGCGCAAGGTGGTTGGTGGACTGTCAATTGTGCACAATCTCACACAAGGGTAGCAAGTACACACGTGCTCTCTTACCACAATTGCGTGCCGTGACGTCCAGACAAGTGTGATTAAGTCTGTATGCTACGTGACAGTATTGTTTATTTGCACGAGATTTATTGACCCACGGTCTGAAGCCTTGCAATATTTATTTAGTTTCCAACATAACAATTCATTCGCGTAGAGATTTAGTCGAGACAGGTACGTTACATTAACGCTTACACAAGATGTAATTCGAGTACTAATGAGAAGTGCCGATGTAACGTAATTCTGTTTGATCTGTGGTGGCATAGTTCACCCCAAGTCACGGAGAGGAAAAATAAATGTTCTCAATACTTATTGTGGGGCAGTTATGCCACTTTCCTGCAAGAGAATCAACTCATCGTTTTACACAGTCCCAAGACATAAACAAAACGTCGTAACTTGATGACAGGGTTCAATCAAGTGACGTAAATGTATTACTATATGAATGCAACTACGGAAACAGAAACCCGTGGCAACAATGCGCATGCTCAGGGTATCGGTTGCGGATTTGTATTACCATTGCATTCCATGGTAAAAGGACGCTCCCTATTCACCGATGTTGTATTGGACGGCGTATACGCTGCAAGCGCTTGTCATATGGCTCCGTGACATTGTAGGCTTCGTTTCGACGTTGTGGTCTATAACCCATCGAGTTGTTGAGCGAGACACAGAAACGATGTATACATCTACGTCGGACAGTTTTATAGTGTTACCCTTATGACGTCATATTTTAAATACTTCGAAAGCGAGCTACGAATATGTCTAACTCGTGTTTATTTGAAGAGGATCAACGCATTGGAAATTCTACACTTCACAAAACTGGACTCTACATTGGAACAGCGGGCGTGGTTATCATGACCGCGGTGAGCGTCGTGATCATCTTACTCAACACGATTATTTTAGTCACTATACTGTGTTACAAGAAGCTCCACTCAGTGTCTTACTATTTCTACGCAAGTTTTACTGTCGCTGACTTCTTGGTTGGCCTGGTGATGTTGCCCGTTGCCATGGCATTGAATAACTCGCCGGAGAAATTCCACCAATATTGGCTGTGTATTAGTGTGTCGTGCTTGCCAGCTTTTGCGATTGTGACATTTATGTTACATATGGTAATCACGTCTTTTGACCTTCACTATAAGATCATGTATCCATTCAAATATCCGAGGAAAATGACGAAAAAACGTTGCTTTATTACAATATTCTCTGTTTGGTTCTGCGCAAGTGTTGTCAGTTTCTCCCCTGTCCTCGGATGGAATACTTATTGGGAAAGATGTCTTCTGCCTGGATTTCATTGTTCTCCGAAAAATGTCTTGTCTGTTACGTACTTTTGCATCATCACTTACGTCATAATCGTTCCTTGCATCATCACCATCGTCGTTTTCAACGTCAGGGTTATTCGCCTCGCCAAAATAACCGTGCAGCAGATCAAAATAAGTCGGCCCAAAATGGCAGACAGCGTAACAAACAAATACAACGCAAGTCGAAAGAGCACGATTACATTACTGTTTATTTTATTTTTTCTCTCGATATTCTGGCTGCCGTTCTTAGTCATACTGCAAATCACGCTGATTTGCTCCGACTGTGCGCAGAATTCATATGTGGTTATCGGTATGTTGGCTGCGCTTGGCAGCGCAGCGATGGGTCCAATAACGGCAGTGCTAAGGCACAGGGAATATCGACACATTGTACGGAAACTCGCCGTGGCAGCCTGTAATGCCAATTGCTGGCGTGGCTGGTCATCTCATAGAGCTGCCGCTGTGAATCAGAACAAACATCCGTCAACAACGACCCAGCCAGACACCGTGTCATCGTACAGCCCGGGGGAAAAGCTCGAAATGTCAAACGAAGTTGCTTTATAACTTCAATTAATCCATGTAAAGCGACAAGAAATTGCACAACATCTGTGTTCAATAACATAGAAAATTGCAGTTACCACAACCATCAATAAGATGAACTAAAACTCACGTGTGAGAAGACTGATCACAGCATTCCGTGTAAAGATATGAGGAGAAACAATTCCACTACAAATCACTGTAATTAATAGGACAACGAGTAAACACCCCTGTGCGGTATGGTCAATCTGTATTGACGGTTCGTAAATTACTACTGCTATTGAGTATACCATGTGACAAGTTTCAGTTAATAAAATGCATCCTCGCGGTTGACGAGAACTAGCTGACAGCGGTTCACTGTGTGCCCTGTGTACCAATGTCGTCATCCGTCCGTCCAGTGAAATATTTGTTAATTCCGAGGTACCGGACATAAACAGATTCTACTTTAGGGCAATTGTTGTTCCCAAGTAATGCTTTCATCCATATTAATTATTCCGCCAGAGTCTGAATTCCGTTCGCAGTGTCGCTACTGTAAATTAATAATTCTAACAAATCAACGTGAATTATTGACTGACGAAAGTACATTACTCATACTCTGCAGTTTTACACGTAAATTAAAATTTTATAGATTAGTACAGGATGGATATACAACATGTGCATTTTTTTCTGGACACGTTGCAGGCATGGTGTTCCTTTTGAAGCTGTTCAATATGCAGGCAATGCACCCCTCCCCCTTGAGCGGCGCTGTGCTTAAATGCGTCAGGGATGAAAAATAAATTCAACATGAATATTGTTTTTTTTATTATCTATGCACTCGCTTGATTAACACTGACACTGTGTACACACATCAGACACACTCAATTGGAGAGTCTTTCTCATACTAATTAATCAGCTCCGCTACGGAGGTTATGTTTGCCCGCGTTTGTGTGTTTGTCGCGAATCTATCTGGCACACATCAGGATAAGACGAACTTATATGAAATTTTCAAAAGAGAGGTTTTCTCTTGACACAAGGATCAATCGAACAGATTTTGGGAGAGGCTCTCAAAAAAGGTACGGACAATTTTTATGAGTTTTCGTCTACGAAAAGACTAAATCCATTAGATTTTGGGAAAGATTTGCATCTGGTTCTCATGGAAACAGAAATTTTGGAAATAATTCGTTATTTATATATCAAAAAGTTATGAACGATTAGATTTTGGGAAAATTCACCCATTGCTTGACAACATTTTTTTCCTTGCAGTTATGGCGGAGGCTTGCACTCGCTGGGTGCCCAGTTAACACTAATCACTGTTCATTTAAACGCCGCGTTCTCATTGGTCGATTAGTCCCACATGTAGTTCAGCTGTCAGACGATACATGAACAGTGCTTAAGATAAAAGTACGGACGTTCCAAACATGATTGAGCGTATTAATATTCAAAGTAACCCCACAATTGTACGAATCGTCTAAACAAAAAACACACCACGATTATTTCAGTCAATAAACTCTAGTTATTATGAACTGATAAATTAACTGTTAAAAATGAACGTGTTTTAGCATGTTTGACAGTGAACGTTCCCCGAATAACTGAAATAGGAGCGTCCACGACGGACCACCATTAAATCCAGATTTGCTGCGGTCGTCATTGTTAATTAAAACGAAACTCTATATAGGGCTGCAACTTAAACGGGTTCTAATAAAACTCAATGAATATCTATATATTGGGTGGCGATAAACTGAGTTTATTTGAATTATAATTTATAACTTTATTTACATGTATAATGGTTTGCGTCGCTGTACCCTATCTTACCCATTTCTATAACCCTACATCTTAATAATATGACGTAAATCGCAAATTGCCGTGTTTTCTAGGACGCTCTTTCTTTGCAAACTGCACGTATGCTAAATTTCTTGACAGACGGGGTCAGCCTAGTCTGGTTAACCTTCCTATAGTTTTGTGCGCTCTCCTCATCACGATAGTTTGGAAAATATGTTTTAACTTTGCTCATTAATCTTGTAGATGCAGTGGTAAGAGATGATCGTACTCCCAACGCCCGAGACTCGCGCGGAGAACATATAACTGCCATCCACTGAAAAAACTGCCATATTCAGATTAGCAGCATGCGATATTTATCAGCCAATCAACGTCATGATAAACCCCTGACTTTTGTGACGTGACGACGGAACAATTATAATAATAGCGTCTAGTCCATTATTCGGCACATCCTCAATCTTTTTCTATATTCTAGATACACGTTGTTAGAAAACATCTAATGAAACTCCTCTCATTATCATTTAAAAAATTAAAATGACAGTGTGATATGCGCTATCAGAATAATCAAGCGCCACTTGTTAAAACATTTTGTAATTGGTATTAAAGCTTATTGAAAGCACAACAACACTACAATATAATCCAGTGTTATTATACATCTGTCACCGTAACGCCATAAGTTACAGCGTGTCGTAAATTTGCGGTATTTTATGGGGTATTTTCATCCTACCATATAAGGAAATGTGAATTCCAAATATGGAATGATTACGCGCGTAAGCGTCCTCCGATAATAAAAACAAACATGGCTGCCACCAAGGTTTGACCGGACTCCACACAAAGAAGTTCGCTGATTCTGCTCTAAACTTTTTAGATTTCGGCATTTCCCATGATGTATCCTTGGAAGGAAAAGAAATATAATAATAAGGTGATTACGAAGATACCTCAAAGTATGCACTCAGGCAGTACGCCGTCGCATCGACCTCCGATGCGCGTCGATCGATACTCTAGCTGTCTTCGTGCATATTTTGAGGTATCCTTGTAATAACCCCATACTATTAATACTTAGTAGTTTACATTAAAACATTGTAAGAAATATTTGATTATTTAAGAACAATACATTTATGTGACAGTTAAAAATTCAGATCGCATTCGTTATGTATGTCGTATAGGACTCGTGGCAACGTCGACGCGACGACTGTGGCTCTTCAACTTTCGGGGATTTGTTAGGAATTATTAATTTTTTTTCAAGAAGTTTCTAATATTTTTGAATTACTGGAATCCGACTCAGATTCCGATTCAATAAACGTTAGGGATTATTGATAATCATTCATTTATCGATTATCGATTCAATCAGTGGTCTTTATCAACAGTGAATTCCACATTATCTGCCGATCTTTGAAAATAACCTTAATGAAGAGCATTAGAGAAAAAATACACCTTTTCGTTGAAAAGTTGAAATTATTGAAAGTACCACACTCGCCGCGCGCCACGTCGTGACAGATTTGTGTCCCAAGTGACAAGTATAAATTTACATGTAAGAAAATAACACTATGTCGAATGTAAGTAATAATGTACGTCACAGCACGTCTTTCCCTCGGTCACCGGGCATCCCCCGAAAAGGATGCTCAATAACCTATTACGTACAGAGTGCGTGAAACTATCTTAAGCCGATCCTGGAAAACCAGCATAGTCAGATATTACGGTAATGATCCTCAAATCTAGCTCTACATGTGGTGAAACTCGCGAAAGCAACGGTGCTGCACCAATAACAGTAAATAGCACTGTCAAATCTATTTTTAATGTAATTGTTTTGAGCGAAAAGGATATTTTCAAAGGACAAGAAAAAGTTTCGATTAATGGGAACATAAATAATGCAAAGCAGACTAGTATAAGTAATGAACACAATTTACGCGTGATACAGTGATAACTACTGATACATATCAAATGGAATATGGTAATCAGGCACAACTTTTCGTTCCAGTACAGATTGACGTGTTGAAGTCTTGCTAATTATCAAACGTGTCATAACATTTCCCTTATTTATGATAGGTACGCAATTTTAAATTGTTACGTCAACGGCTGACAATCTCCAATGACACCAAAACATCGCGCATTTGGTAATTTGATAGTATACTTATTATGACAACTGTTTGAAATGTGGGGAATCTGAATCATGTGTTTTAGGTTCAGTCGCATATACGGACTTCACAGTTTCTGAAATCCTTATACCTTATCTTGACCGCGCACGGAATTTGTCGCTTACGGCATCGCTTGCAGATTAGCAAGTATGAACTTTATAAACGCCGCGGAATTACTTTACGTTTAGTGAAGATGATGTATTTACGGCTAAAACGTTCTTCAATCGCAGGCGATTATTGGCGGCATTAAAATTGAGTTCAAGATAAGGCATTCCTGCATATGCTTGGAATACACGATCACTACTGCGCTTGTTTAATATGTCTGACGTCACGCATAAGATAATCGTTCACAGATATTGCGTTCTAACTATTAACCACATTGGTCAGAAATAAAGTCGTACCAGAGATAAATCTGTGTGTACAACCTTTATTAGTTGTCTGAGTATCGGATAAACTAGTCAAGTGGTTAAAGCGGGGAAGTCGTCACCTGCGCATGCGTCAGATGGCCATAGCGTGTCATTGTTTACAAACAAGCGTCTACCCATGAGCCTTTGCGATTTTAGTGTGTGTTGTTATCATCGCTTGGGACTCAATGTCCGCGCGTGCGCAGGTGACGACCCTACCGCGTTAACGCATGCCGTCAAACATAGTTGCTATAAAAGGTAACCTAAACAGGAATTTAGACACTTACAAGTCATAAACTTTAAATTGAACACTTGAGGGCGGCCAGACAAACAAATGTTTGTTCCTATAAGCCGTTTATCTGTTCAACAAACGAGGCGGAAATTATTACCCGTTTGAAAGTCTCCGTCTCTCAGCTATCTCCCCTCATTAAAAATTGTATAATCCACGGACGAAATTGACATTCCGTCCTGATATAATTTTTTTATGCAATATTATATATTTATTGGCTTCACCTGAGGTTTATATGTCTATTTATCACTCCCCAAATGACTGTTTTAGAGCGAAGCCGAAAATTGAGAACGATAACAGGCACTTGGAGGTGGGTGGGTAATCATTCCTAATATAGGACGATGCCAAATGTTTTTTCAACATATGTTGAGCACAAGTAGATAAAAATGTGAATAAAAGCGTTAACTGTCTGCGTCATATCAAAATTAACCGGCAGCTGAGAAA